CCCCCCCCCCCTTCGACCCGGCGAGGCAAACAGGTAGGTTTTATCCATGAATAAATGTAAATAGATTTTATCCATGAATAAATCTAAATTGAGAGGAGAAAACGACACAACGACCTTGCAGATAGCCTTCCCGGTTCCTTGTTCCGCCCCTCTTCCCCCCCTCGCCAAACGAAGAGAGTCGTCGTTACATCCATAGATTCAATTGTGCACCGAAAACCGAACTTGCCCGCCAATCCCCCCATCCTTTCCCCGCTGCGCGCCTCCCCCCCCCCCCCCCCTCGAGTCCCCAACCTTCCCATTTCACACGCCGGCCAACCGCAACCCATCAACGCTTTTCTGTCTCCAGGATCATTTCTTCCCGCCATATACTCGATAGATTGGGCAAAGGAGACGGGCCTCACTTCTTCCCGCCAAAACCTTCCGCATTCTCCAGACGCACGGAGATCCCGCCAAATCCCATCAAATCCGCGACTGTAACCGGGAGCACAGAAAGACGGAGAGAGAGAGAGAGAAAGAGAGAGACGTACAGACTGGCAGACCCACGCCGAGAAACCCTTCTGGGTGCGGTATTCTTCTCTCATGACAAGAGATGAAGTCATCTCTCTCTCTCTCTCTCTCTCTCTCTCTCTCTCTCTCTCTCTCTCTCTCTCTCTCTCTCTGTGTTACAGGCCAGAGGGTTTCACAGCGCCTACCTTCTTCCCCCGAATACAACGTACGATCATTATAGCTGTATTTGGGGTATCTTCTTTCAGTCTAAATACAGCTATAATGACCACCGTACGTTGTATTCGGGGGAAGAAGGTAGCGCTCAGATCGAACGAGTTCGAACGAGTGCCACGTGGTAGTGTACCTCGCAACGATCTACGCAAGCCACGTGGAACGACTCCTACCACGTGCCAGCTCCCGATTTCCTTCTTTCACCTCCGAATCACAAGATAGTAAGTAAGGAAAATGGTACCCAGATTTATCCTTGTAACATTGACGCGGATGTTTACCACTAATTAGCGATGATAAAGGGGTTGCCATGGACGGCAATTCCGGCCACTGATTGGACGAGAAATGGAGAGGTAGAAGAGACGTGAAGAGCAGCGGCGTGAGTGGTAAAAAAAAGGATGTGAAATCGCAAGGGTCGAAATCGTACCTTGGTTAACGGGATGAAATGATCGACGACATACTGCTCTTTCATCTGGGAGCCAATCTTGCAAAGAGACTCGACGGCTTTCTCTCGCACAACGGGTTCCTCCACGGCACACAGAGTTTCAAGGGGGGGGAGCAAACAGTGCGCGTGCTCGATCCCGCCAACATACTGAATGAAGTTGCCAAGCTCTTCGGCCATAGCCAACAAGACCTCATCGTCGTCGTCATTGCAATCGCTCAAGAAGGGGATGAGTTCCTTGCGGGTGCGTTCTTCGCCGAGAGCACGGGCTATGGTTGTCAGACGCCTGATTGAATTCAGCCGCAACTGGATATCGTCATTCTTAAGCTCGTCGATTAAGATGGCGATAGGGTAAAGCGGTTCGTCCACCATGTTCGACGCCATAGCCAGGAAAACCCAAGCTGGGGAGGAGGAGGTGCCACGCCCACAGCAGGCGCTTGCCTTCAAGACAACGACGTCCTTCCTTGCAGACGCGTGGCACAACCTCAGAATGGAATGGGTCAAGAAGGAAAAAAAATCAATCGAAGCGAGGGTTACACGGAAATGACAGAGGCAGACAGACAGGCAGACAGGAGCGGCAGACGGCCGTACGATTACGATACGAACTTGGGTTGGGCGTGGTGTGCCCCGTCGGGTCGGGTCGCGTCACGTCACGTCCAGTTGGGTCGCGTCGCGTCGCGCCGCACCCTTCAACCCCCCATCTCTGCCCTCCAAAACCAGCCCAAATTACCCTACTCTCTTTTCCTGTGCTGTCGCTCTCTCTCTCTCTCTCTCTCTTTCTCTCTCTGCTGCCTCTCGCTGGGTGTCCGTCCCTACGTTTGAAAATGGAGGGGAGATGCGATCTCAGACTCCGCCTGCTGGATCGGTCGGCCTCCACCGAAGGGCCGGCCTGTAGCGGCAGATCGTCCAGAAGACAAGGCGGAAACCACCAGCACACCAGCAGAGATCCATCCAATCGGCCTGCTGACCATCTAGACCATCTACCATGCTCTGCTCTCAGACGTCATCAGAGGGCCCCGCCCGAAGTCCTCGGCAGCGGAGATTGAGAGGTACGGCCGGAACTAGCTGACTCCTCCCTCGGTTCCAGGGCGTCTCATGTGGTTGTGTAGCATGTGGACCCTTGTCTATGGAAAGGTTGCCGCCCAGTTTACCATGTGGACCCTTGTCTGGACTGGATGACTCTGGAGCTCTTGGGGTTTTTTGGGGTAAAACTGCATCTGTACCCCGCGTAAAGATGGGATACCCGGTATACCCAGTCCCAACACCAACTTGCATCTGTACCTAGAAAACGGCCGTGTTTGCATGCCCAGGGGCCAACGTTGACCCGGGTTGGTTGACCTCATAACCACCTACCTGAATGCACGAATTATGGACATACCCAGGCAAAATTGTGGGCATACCCGGGACTGAGGCGGACTCGCCAAATCATTCGTATACCCAACTCCCAGATGGCTGAAATTATGCTCATACCCATCAGCCGGTGGGCCACAACGGTCCACACGGTGGGCACGAGCATAATTTTGTGGTGCACCATCCAAGGCCCAGCGCTGGGTGTGGGTACACCCACAGTTTTGCCACCCTGGTTTTTGGGCATGAGCATAATTTTGTGGTCTGGACCGAAGGTTGTGGGGGACAGACTGGGTTCGCCCACAATTTCGCACAGGGAAAAAGTTGGGTACTATGCAAAGTTGAACAGATTTCGAGTATAAATGCAGGTTGGCAGTGGGACTGGGTATAGCCGGTATTCCCATCTCATCTTTTTTTTTTTTTCCTTTTTCTTTCACGTGCAGGCAAAAGAAAACTAAGATTTATGGGACTCGCCGACCCTGGGTCCCACCACCGATTTCTTCAGGGACAGACCAGTACGTTGTAATTTCCTAACAGTGGCAGAGGTACTGGTGGTTTAAGTGAGGTACATATCCAATTTTCCTTTTCTTTTTTGTCTCACATTTTTGCATTCGCTTTGCTATGCAACTGGGAACTGCATCGGGACATCGACACTCGGCGGACACACAAATTGGTTGTCAGACGGCGGCTCGGAAGGGGGCCGACGACAGGGGACGCAGGGGGCAAGTAAAAAAGTGAGTGGAAAAGGTAGTAAAGTGCAGGGAAAGTTGTTCTGCGAAGGGTGCACAACCCATCGTTTATCGGTTGATATGGTTGAGGTAGGGTAAGATAGTGATTATGGTGTGTTTGTGTCTTGTCATGTTCGCTATACGCAACTCCAAGAGTGTGTGTTTGCTTATTTGTGCATGTGTGTGTGTGTGTGTGTGTGTGTGTGTGTGTATGTGTGTGTGTGTGTGTGTGTGTG